GCATGACTATTAAGCAAGAGGTTGGCAATATGAACCCACCAGCCACTCCTTGGGAGAAAACATGGCAGTATGCTTATGTAAAAGATTTGCAGCCTTGGAAACCCTCTGCCCTATAGGGTTGCTATGAGTCAGAATCAATTCGACAGCAATGAGTTTGTTTTCTTTTCCAGAATGACTTTTCCTAGGAGTTCCAGAGGGTGTAAATGGTTAATGCACATGGCTGCTAACTGAAAGACTGGAGGTTCAAGGCCACAGAGCAGTGTCTCAGAAGAAAGGGCTCTCAAGCTACTTCCAAAAGATCATCCGTTGAAAACTCTGTGGAGCAGAGTTCTACTCTGACACACACGGGTCCCCATGAGTCAAAGCTGCCTCAATGGCACCTGATTTAACCAGGTTTCCTTCTTTCTTTCTTTTTTAATTATTCACTCAAGCTGTGCTGGGGAAGCCAGCTAGCGATTACTACATGACTTTTTCTAAATGTTCCCACATGCCAGGACTCCCTGAAATCTCTACATGCATTTATTCAGTATTCAATCAAATATCTGTGAGCCCCTCCTATGTGTTGGTAGGTCCCTGTGTGGTGCAAACAGTTTGGACTTTACTATTAAGTTGGCAGTTCAAACCCATATAGCAGTCCTGTGGAAGAAAGGCCTGGCAATCTGCCTCTGTAAGATTATAACCAAGAAATCTCTACAGAGAAGTTCTACTCTGTAACACATGAGACCACCAGGAATCAGAACGGACTGGGAGGGAATGGATTTGGATCCTTTGTAGCTGACTCTGTTCTAGGTGTTGGGGTATAATGTGAATGGAACAGACATGGTCCGTGGGCCAGTGGGGGAAGACCATAAACAGACAAATACATGATATAACATAAAAGTGTTGTGAAGGAGAGAAAGTAGGGTACCATAGGCTGCATAACGACCCCCCCAGAATATGAGGTCCTAATTGCTAGGACCTGTAAATGTTACCTTATTTGGCAAAGTCTTTGCAAAGATGATTAAGTTAAGGATCTTGAGATAATGGGGAGATGGTCCTGGATTATCCAGTGAGACCCAAATGTAATCACAAGAGTCTTTATGGGAGGGAGACTGGACACAGACACAGGAGAAGGTGATGTGACGATGGAGGCAGAGACTGGAATGATGCAGCCACAAGCCCAGAAATGACCAGAGCCACCAGGAGCTGGAAGAGGTGAGGAAGGATTCTCCTCTAGAGTCTTGAGAGGGGGCGTGGCTCCACTGACATCTTGATTTTGGTCCTGGGGAACTGCTGTCGAACTTCTGGCCTCCAGAACTGTGAGAGAATAAATTTATGTTGTGCAACTGTTAAACATGACCTCTTTGTGGACATTTTTTGTTACAGCACCCACAGGAAATTAATACATAGGGTAAGGGATTGGAGAGTAATTCCGTTAGTGGTCCAGGAGGCCCTCTTTGGGAAGGGGTATCTGGGCAGGGAGTTGAAGGAACGTAAGGAACCTAAATGTGTGCACATACATACACATGCACATATATGCACATGCATGCATACATGCCCACACACACATACACTCATGCACACATACACATGCATGCACACATGTACATATAATAAGTAGCTGAGTGCTAATCTGGGCCCCTCCAGTGTGACTGTGTGGTCTGGGCCTCAGATTCCCCATCTGACCAGCGAGTGACTATAAAAAATGATCTCTGAGCTCCATCCTGGTATGAACTTTCCTGCATGTGGCCCACTGTGGGGGTTACCATCTTAGCAACCCTAGGACCCTCCAGGAGAGTCAACATGTTCAGGAAACAGGTGGCATGTGGAGTGCCCTACTCCCCTGAGGCACCTGGCTGTAGTCTGGCTCCCATCCCAGCCACCACAGTCACCTTCCCCCAGCACTGTCACTCCCCTGCTCAAACACCCTCCTTGGCTCCCCAGTTCTACAAGCTGGTGTTCACAGCCCTTCAGGAGCTGAAGTGCCTGTGCCTCACTCCAGCCACACAATCTTTCTTCTTGGTCTGCTCTAAAGACCCCTTTTTCTTCACACGATTTGTGGATGTTGCAATTCCTTACAGCTGGGCCATCTCCTCTATCCCTTCTGCACACACCTCTGCCTGGGGACCCCAACCCCTCCCACTGCTGCCGAGACACACACACCCATGCGCCTCGCATGCCTCTGGGTCCAGAACTGAGTGCCCAACTGATAACTGATATCCCCCTGGCAGACTTCAGGCCCCTCAGACTCAGCCTGTCTCAAACAAAAGCCAGCGTCTCCACCAAAGCTGTCCTTCCCCTTACCTCCTCTCTCCTTCTTCTCTCCC